CAAATTAGAGTAGGTAAATAATTTTTTTAAAAAGATTGATTAAGTGACACATAGACTTGGAGAAAACTTTCAAGTATTTTGCTAAGAGAAAAAAAGCCAATCTGAGAAGGCTACATACTATATGATTCCAACTATATGACATTCTGGAAAAGGCAAAACATGGACCATAAAAAGATCAGGGGTTGCTACGGTTTGGGGAAGGGATGAATAGGCAAAATCTAAGTGGGTTTTTTTTCCTTTGATACTGGGATCGAACTCAGGAGCGCTTTATTACTGAGCCACATCCTCAGCCCCTTTTTGATTTTGAGACAGGGTCTTGCCACATTGCTGAGGACCTTGCTAAATTGCTGAGGTTGGCCTTGAACTTGTGATCCTTCTGCACCCCAAGTTGCTGGGATTACAGGCATGTGCCACAGTACTCTATTACATAGAGGAATTTTAGGGCAATGAGACTAATCTGTATGACATCTGTATGACACCATTACACATTTGTCCAAACCACTGGCTATGCTACACAAAGAGTGAACTATTATTATTGGATCATTGATTGTAACAAATGTACCACACTAATATTAGATGCAAATAATAGGGGACATTGTGTGTCGGAGGAGAGGGACCACAGGAACTCTTTGTACTTTTCCATCGATTTTTCTGTAAGCCTAAAACTGCTTTCAAAAAACATTTTTTTAAAAAGCCATGTTCAAAGAATTCAAGTGACTTGATGTCTAATAAGCTCACCACATACCTTACTTCTGATCTTCTCTCTTCCCATAAAGTCACTAATAGAGAGATTTCTCTGTCCTAAAGGATTCTCTCTCTCAGTCAGGGAGGGAGCTGGGGACAGAAGCAGATACTGAATACAATTCAGGCGAAAGTGGCTGTTCTGCGTCCTGGTTTGCCTTCTCCCTCACGCTCATTCATTCCACAAATTTGAAGTTTCTATTCTGAGCTGGGTCTTATCCTGGACACCAGGGAGGTAAGTGGCATCAAGCCACCATCCTGTCCCACAAACATTCACAATCTGAGGGAGAAAACGATAAGCAAACACACAACAATGGTGCGCTGTGTTAAGTGCTACCAGGAGGCGGGACAGGAGCACAGGCGAGGAGTATCTAACCCAGCCTAGGTTGAGTCGAGTCAGACTTCCTGGAGGATGTGACATTGAAGGCAAGCCCCAGTTTAGAGGCAATAGGATGCTGATGGGACTGAAAATTGGTGCAACCACTATGGAAAATATTATGGAGAATCCTCAGAAAACTTGGAATGGAACCACCATTTGGGTTATCCCACCCCTCAGCTTACACCTGAAGAACTGAAAATCAGCATACTACAGTGACACAGCCACATCCATGTTTATAGCAGCTCAAGCCAAGCTATGGAACCAACCTAGGTGCCCTTCAACAGATGAATGGAGGGCTGGGGTTGTGGCTCAGTGGTAGAGCGCTTGCCTAGCATGTGCGAGGCACTGGGTATGATCCTCGGCACCACATAAAAATGAATGGATAAAATAAAGATATTGTGTTCATCTACAACTAAAAAAATCTTTAAAAAAATAGATGAATGGATACAGAAACTGTGGTACATATACACAGCGGAATATTACTCAGCCATAAAGAAGAATGAAATTATGGCATTTGCCAGTAAATGGATAGAACTGGAGACTCTCATACTCAGTGAAATATGCTGATCCCCCAAACCCAAAGGCCATATGATCTCTCTGATACGTGGATGCTAATACACAATAAGGTGGGGAGAGGAAAGAATAAAAATTCATTGGATTAGACAAAGGGGAATGAAGGGAAGGGAGGGAGGATGGGGAAAGGAAAGACATAGAATAAATTGGACATAACTTTCCTATGTTCATATGTGAATACACGGCCAGTGAAACTCCACATCATGTACAACCACAAGAATGGGATCCTAATAAGTATGTATGTCTAATATCTCCAAATAAACTCTACTGTCAGGCACATCTAAAAAGAACAAAGAGGGGGCACAATAGGAAAGCCTCTTGCATGTGTTCAGAGATCTGGAAGCAAACCCCCCACAAAAAAAACAAAAATACCAAACCAGCTCACCTGTGCATGTGGAGAGGGGGGTGCACAGAGGGGAATGGGCTGGAGGGACAAGTGGTGTCCAGGTCAAACCTGAGTCTTTGGCTCTCTCAAAGCAGTGCGAAGTAGCCCAATCAGAACTGGCAACATCTCTCCTGGGAGTCTGCCTCAGGCAGGTGACGCGTCTCAGGGAGACTCCCCAGGTCTCTTTTGAACACCCTGGGTAGAAGAACCCAGCCTATAATTACCACCGTGATAATTAGAGCTGCTTCCAGGGCCTCTTTCAACAAACATGCACAAGCTGCGGCCCTCTCACCTGGGGAGTGGGGGAGGAAGAGACCAGGTCACCCCTCCTGGGGGGCGCCCAGGCCTGCATCTCCTGCCAGGCACACTGGCTGTCTGCTGAGGCCCAGCAGTGCCACGAATACACCTGGGGCTGCTCCAGCTTGGGGCTGGCAGAAGGACTAAATTTCTCCCACCAGTGCCACCCGCTGCCCATCCAACCGGCGGACTGTTGGTCAGTCTTATTCCAGCCTGGCTTTCTCGGGGAACTGCAAACTTGTAGAAAGCTTGACCAGGCCCTGGAGCCTCTGTTTCCCCAAGAGACACCTGGGGAGTCTCTGGTGTAGATGGAGAGGAGAAAATGCTTCTCCTTCTTTTCCTCCACACCTTCTCCTTCCTTTCTTTCACCAGATTTTTTTCTCCTGTTGCATCCACCCAATACCAACGTGTCCTTTGGCTTCGCTTTCTATGACTCACTGGGAACCAAAGCCCAGGTGAATCGCCCAGGCTCCCCGTGTCATTTTTGTTTCATTAATGACGTGTCTGCTCTGTTTGGTTCTTAGCTCCTCAGAGAAGGCGCTTCTGCAGGTCTTTCCCATGGGACCTAAAGCTTCACTCAAGCCCCTTCAAGACTTAGAACAACTACATGTCATGTTCAAGAGCACCAGTTGACTGAAAATGCACCTGGCAATATTGTACCAGCTCCATCAATGTCAAGAACTTAGGTCCTTTGCCTTCTGGTCTCCTCATAGCATGCAGTTTTATGGCTGGGCAGGTTTTTGCAGGCTGGTATCTCTGTGTTAACAGTGAGAGGAAGGGTCCCTGATGGTTAAGTATTTTCTTGTCCCCCCCTTCACGCTCTCCTAGAACCTTGATCTTATCAGCCGGCCATTTCCCAGGGCTCTCTGGTGGAGCTTCATAGGAAACACATTGAACCTGACTGGTCCTGGCACCTGGCAGTTGGGGAAGGAGGAAGACAGAGAGCTTGCAACTGAAGGAAGAGTGTACTTGGCTCTGTCACTAAATGGTTCCTCCCTCTTGGGGACAGGCAAGCAGCAGTTGTAGGGCAATGGCCAACTGATCCATTTGGAGATAGAGTCAGGGTGTGGTGTTCCGGGTAAGTTTGGGCAGGCCCTGGGAAACTGGAGCAGAGCTAGATCCTGGCCTAAAGTTGGGCAAGCTGCAGAGGCACTTGGGTATGCTGGTTTTAGGTGTGTGAGCTTTGCTCTCTGTTAAGGGAGGGGTGGGGGTGTCCAAGAGGACTAGCATGTCTGTTTTCCCCTCATTCACAATAGAAGGGAGACTTGGCTAGGCCCTTCAAAGTCTGGCCTTAATGCACCAGACTTTGTCTCTTTTCTCAGTAATTCATAGCACAAATCATCCGTCCCATGCCTGGGAACCAAGCTCACAGCGAACTTCACATCTGTAAGCCTTGCCTCATGCCCTTGTCTCTTCTTGGTAAGCTTCTCAGGATTTCAGTCTGCCTCACTCACTTTTGAGTGGAGGGGACTAGAGATTGAACCCATCCTTTTTTTTTTTTTTTTTTTTTTTTGATACAGGGTCTCACTAAGTTGCTCAGGGCCTCATTTAGTTGCTGAGGCTGGCCTCAAATTTGTGATACTCCTGCCTCAGCTTCCCCCAGTTGCTGGGTTTACAGGCATGTGCCATCATAGCTGGCCTGCCCCACTCACTTCTGAGAAAACTTTTCCCAGTGCAGGAGCCTCAACTCATGGCTCCATTCTCTCTTCCCCTAATCCTAGGATTCACTGTTGGTTTGGGGTCTAGCTCTGTTATGTTTACTTCTTTGCCTGCTTCCTGCCCTCCAGGTGGGCAGTTTCCTGAGCTTTTGCTCTTGCTATTCCTTCTGCCAAGAACTCTCTTCCTTCCTTGGGATCTTTAGATGTTCTCATCCTTCAAATGTCATCTCAAATGTACCCTCCTCAGCGAGGCCCTCCTTGACCACCTCATCTACTAAGTAGTCACTCTTTGACCCATTACCTAAAATGTAGTATCACCTTAAAACTCATGTGAAATTGTCCTCATTTATGCATCGGCTTGGATGGTGTCCCTTCCTCTCAAATATAATCACCTGGAGGGTGAGACCAAGCAGAATGAGTTGATACATAGTTGACACCCAATAAATATTTGTTGACTGGGTACATGAAGACAAGCCTAGGGTATTTTACTTGGCACCGAGCCTGGGCGCAATAAAGTTTGGCTGCATGGTACATTTGCTAAATGAATGACGGAAACAATGAACTAGGAAGGGGCGAAGGCAGCGCTCAGCCTGCGCCCGACAGGCTACCTGACAGTTGGGGACCCGCGGGCAGCAGGCTGTTGATTGAAGGTTGACAGCTGAGTGGCAGTCAACGGACGCGCACCGCGGTTCCCGATTGGCTGGTGCTGTAGTACCTCGGGAAGGGGCGGGAAAAGGGGGGCTCTGGGCGACAGCTGCGCTTGGAGGGGGCGCGGCGGCCGCACGCGGCGGCGGCAGGCGTCCGTCCGCCAGAGGCTGTAGGTGCCCCAGTCGCCTGGAACCAACAGCCGACGTCTCCGCGCATGGGCCGGGCGCGAGGGGCGGGGCGAGCGTCACGTGAGCGTGTTTTGGGCACGTGACCCGCGCGGGGCCCAGGCTCGCCCCCGCCTCCTCCCTCCTCCCATCGGCGGGTGTGATCCAAACGGCCTCGCCTCATCGCCTAGCGCCCCCCTCAGCCCCCGCCGCCGCCGCCGCCTCGGCCCGCCGGCCATGTCCCCCGGCCGCCGCCGCCGCCGCCCGAGCGCGGCGCTCCCGCAGCCCGCAGCGCGCTGAGCGCGGGCCCGTGCTGCCGCTCGCCCGCCCCGGGGCCCCCTTGTTCTCCGCGCCGCCGCCGCCGCCATGTTGGGTTTAGAGCCGCAGCGGAGCCGCCGCCGCCGCCGCGGGTGAGGGAGGCCGAGAGCGGAGCCCGCCCCGCCCCGGGGCCCAGGGAGCGGGGCCGCTTCGGAGCCCGGCCTCTCCCCGCCAGCCGCCTTCCCGGCCCGCCGTGCGAGCCGGCCCGCGAGCGAGCGAGCAAGCGCCGGGCCCCGGCTGCGCCTTCCGCTCCCTGCGCGAGCGAGCGAGCCCGCCGCCGCGGGGCCCGGCCACTGCCTGCGGCGGAGCCCACGAGCGTCAGCGCCATGGCGGAGCAGACCTACTCGTGGTGAGTGCGGGGCTCCGGGAGGCCGGGGCGCGGCGTGGGTGGGGGTCGCGCGCCGCCGCGCGGGGGGGAGAGCAGGCGGAACAGGTGCGCGCTGGGCCGCGGGCTGGGGGTGCACGCCCCCTTGGCCCCCGGCGGAGGGGCGGCTGGCGCGCGGGGACCGCGGCGAGCGGCCGGGGGGGGGACCCGGCGTCCGGGTAGGGGGATGGAGGCGGCCACGGCGGATGTCATTTGGCCATGGGCGGAGCAGGTGATGGAGAAGGGGAGTGTGACCCCGGGAGTGGGAATCTCTGCGGATAGGAAGTTGAATCCGTCCGGCACCCCGGAACTGACCTGGGGTGGCCACTGGGCCACGGGAATCGAGAGGAGGAGAGAGGCGGGCCGGGGCAAAGGTGGGCCACCGGGCCGAGAGGGAGCTCCGTGAGAACAGGTGATAAGAGGCAGAACTTCCAAGTTGTGAGAGAGAAGCAGCCGTCTTGTCTGTGGGGCTGCTGTTCAGCTCTGGCATCCAGAGCTAAGGGGGAGTTGGTAAGGTGGCCAGAGGCCCAGGCTGGGCACCTGATAGAGAGGAGTTGGAAGGGGGGCCTGTTTGGATGACCACCTTCTGGTGGCGGTAGGGTGTGGGCAGCGTCTTTGTAAGGGTTGCTCCTGTGTTCTTAGGGATTTTAGGTGTGCTTGTGCCCCAGGCCATATACCGAGATGGAGGACCTGCAAGTTATGCCCATTTGTGTGGGACTTTTATCAAGTAGCTCATTCGTGTCTTACTCTTACGATGCGTCCTTGCAGTTTAGGGGCATGCATTTCCTGATAAGGGAGTGCCAGGGTTGGGGGCAAGCGGGAAGAGAGGCCCTCCTTTTTGCGTGCCAAGGTGGAATAATCTGCAGAAGGAGTGGAAGGAAGGAAGGGAGTGAAGTATGGGAATTGTGTGGTGGGAAGGAAGTAATGGCTTGAGGATGAGGAGGTAAGGAATAGATGATTGGAGGTGTGGGGAATGGAATTCTGGTTGCAGTCTAGAGACTGTTCGAAGATGTTTTATTCTTTGAAGCACATGCAGTTTGGGACAGAATGGCAGACTTCCTTTCTTAGAAAAGAGCATAGAAGAATGGGAAGTGTACGACATTTGGAGTTGGAAGACCTGATTCGGAGGTCAGGTTCACCCTCTAACTTGTTTTGTAACTGGGCAAGCTAGTGGGTTCTTCATTCCCTTTTCCTCATCTATAAAAGAGGGGAATTGCCTTTTTTCACAAGTTAAAAGGATTAAATGAATACCTTTATGAAGTGCTCTTTTTAATTGCAAAGTGCCATAATTATAACTAAATTGTAATTATCATAGGGAAACATGAAAAAAACGGTAATGTCTGAATATAAAGAATGGTTTTGGGTAGAAAGCTTTAACCAAATGGATGATTTGTAGTGTTTGGGGTTATGATAAATCAAGAACTTATTGTATCCTCACATAGGGGAAAGAGGGTTATTAGTGATTGAAGATAATAATTCAAAAGGGAACTTAAAAATGTATACACAATTTCAAGAAAATAATAGATTGAAAAGAAGGAACTCTTCAAGAATTAAAATTTTAGAGTTGTGACTGTATAGTATTTTAAAAAGACAAACTTATTTAATAGTTTTGAGCAGCATTGAGCTGCATCTCAGGAGCAGGTGGTGTGAAACGCAAGGTTTTAGTTCAAGCATTCTTGTGGATGGAGTAAGAACTGAAGCTGGAGGTGATTCTGTCATGCCTCATGGTAACTCATCTAAAGCTTCTCCTACTCTGGCCCAAGCGAGAGTTCTCATGGCTGCCTTGTTCTTGCTGTATTGTATGGAAGTCATGGGTGGTTGAGAAATGGGGAAAGTGTTTTTACTGTAGATTAGCAACACACCACCTCCATGTAATGTGGATTGGGTCTATTAGTTAAAGGGGAGTTACTTTGTGAAGTTTGATAATTTTATTTGAAAACTCTTCAGATCTCAATTCCCTTTATTTAGGTTACAGGCAGTGGAGTGCCTCAAAAATCAGGATGTTTAGCTAACCCCTCGCATCTAGCATGTTTTGAGATGGAGAACGTTTTTTTTTTTTTACATCATATTGAGAGAAGGTGATATACAGGGGAGGGGTTTGGAAAACTGGACAGCTTCCTAGTTCTTTCTGAGTTAACCAGACAACAATATAAAGAGCTGTACAAACATGGCATTTAATATATTGTTCATTCTCTGAGTTAGCACTCAGAATTAAATTTAATTCTCCCAAGTCCCTAAGAGCATATTTTCCTATTTTATATAAGAGAAAACAGTCTCAGAAGATCAAAGAAATGGCCAGAGCATTTCACCTGTGATTCATTCTTTTGTTTAACATGAATTCTGTATTTTACCTGTTTAAATTGAAATATAAATATAGAAATGTATTTCAGAAAGTATATATGTAAACTCATTTTTTAGATTATCTGTAGTTTTGTAGCATCTATGTTACTCTTCCCTTGGCTTGTGCAAAAAAATCAAGAATTGATTAAAAAAAAAAAAAAAAAGACTTGCATTTTACTTACTTGTATGTGGCCTTCAGGAAAAATCAACTTGTGGAGACTGCTGTGGCACTATAGATTTGTCTTGAAAATGGAGTTAGTGAGGAATGTAGACATGTATGAAAATAGACTCCTTTAGGATTTTCACATAATAGGACATATAAGCTATAAAAAAGATTGGCCAGGAGTTGGTAATTAGTGAAGTTAAGTGATGAGTACATCAGATGTTCATTATTTTATTCTGTTGATTTTTGGGGGGGGGGGAGGTTATCAGGGCTTGAATATGGGCACTTAACCACTGAGCCACATCCCTAGCCCTTCCTATTTTTTATTTTGAGACAGGATTTTGCTAAGTTGCTAAGGCTGGTCTCGAAATTGCAGTCTTCCTGCCTCAGCCTCCCGAGTCACTGGGACTACAGGCGTGTGCCACTGTGCTCAGATAGTTTTAATACTTGTATTTCTGTCTGCATCACTCCCTTCTGTTCTTGTGTAAATACTGAATCTCCTCATTAAACACTAACCTTTGTCCTCCCATGGTCCTAGCACATTGTCTTGCACATAGCCCTTGTTAAATTTTGAGTAAATTTTAAATTTGAAGTAAATTTTGAGTGAATATGATAGTAAATTTTCAAGGTGGCTTATCCTTTGTTGAAAGAATATTAAATACAGAGGGAGGTTACTAAAGGATGAAAGTTTATAATTCATGTACTTACAAAGAAGAACTTTTAGTATTGGATTTCCTGATGTTCCAATGCTGTAAGAATGAGGAATGCTATCCCATATTATAGATAAAAGCTATTGAGAATTAAAAGGAGAACTTAAAGTAACTGGTAGTAACACCAGGAGCTTTATCATGATGTAATGACAAGATTTTGCATATATTCTTTTTGCTCATACACCGAGGAAGTAAAAGAATGCAAGTGAAAACACAAACTGAACGTGCAAACTAGACTTATTTTATTAATTTGAGAAAAACACCTTTCTAGGTGTACTCTTATGAGCACTTGTTTTAGTGTGAGTTCTGGAAGAAACAGGAGCTTGTCTCTTGAGGATGTCAATGCAGTACTTGTATGATTGCACTTGGACCCTGCTAAAAATTACTTATATTGAGGTTAATGTTTGTGCAAGGGGGAAAGAAGTCAATTTGTCCAAACTCTTCAAGCGAGTTCATTAGCAAAGTATTATCATAATAATTTTATTCTTTGTTTTGTATATGCTAAGGTTTCACAAGCATTGCAAAATAAGGAAGCTAAGGCTCCAAGAGTATAAATAATTTCCCTAAGGAAACAAATGTTTGTAAAAGGGCCCAAAGTCAAGACTGTTTGACACTAAGATTCTTTTTTTTTTTTTTTTAAAGAGAGAGAATTTTTTAATATTTATTTTGTAGTTTTCAGCGGACACAACATCTTTGTTTGTATGTGGTTGGTGCTGAGAATCGAACCTGGGCCACATGCATGCCAGGCATGGCGTGCTACCGCTTGAGCCACATCCCCAGCCCGACACTAAGATTCTGATACTGAATCTGTCATTATTCTAAGCCAACCATTTTTTGCTTAAGTTCCTATATTAGCCTTCTCTTTGGGTTTCTTCCCGTCTCTACACAATGGCCATTCTCCTGAGTGGCCTTCTAACAACTTAAGCCAGATCATGACAGTCCTATGCTTAAAATTCTGCAGTGGCTTTTGGGCCCAGTTAGAATAAAGTCCTAATTCCTTAGTGCAGTTCTTCCTGTTTTGGCCTTGTTTTTAATCTCTTAAAGATGACAGACAGTGGGCTGGGGTTGTGGCCCAGTGGCAGAGCGCTTGCCTCATACATGCGAGGCACTGGGTTCGATCCTCAGCACCACATGAAAATAAACAAAATAAATATATTGTGTCCATCTATAACTTTGTTTATTAAAAAAATAAAGCAAAATAAAATGATGACATTAATTAAAAAAAGATGACAGTAAACAAAATAAACTATACGAGGGTGAGACTCTTTCCGTTTTGGCACTCTCTCCAGTGTCTCAATAGGTGGTTTATAAAATTGTTCTGAATTAATGCGTGAGAATGCGTCTGCCTGTGCCATCTATTTTAAAATCTGATTTCAGGGCTTAATTGTATGGAGGTGGTATATTATTGTGATAATGTTCGTTATCATGTCGTGTATTTGCAAAATAGTGCTAACTCAGAGAATGAACAATAATGCAGATCTTCAGAACTAATGGAAAGCAGTTCTAATTGAGGATTATTGTTGTGATCATTGCATCTGATATGATCATACCTGATTGTAGCTGCTGAAAGTTTTTTTTTTTTTAAAGAAACTAGTTGAAAACTTATGTCTAGAATTATAGATGTTAGAAGATTTGTTTATTATTTTAAAAACATGTTTTGCCTGTAGTTAAAGTGCTTTGATAATATTTTTTCGGTGATGCATGATTTAAACTAAAATTAGCCAAAGCTATAACACCATGAATCAGTATTTAAATTGTTTTTCTCAGTGTCT